AACGAAAATTTGGAAGAAATTGAAGGGGTACCCCTTAGAAAAATCTCGGAAAAATAAAAAAATTTTTTTTTGTTGTTTATTATTAGCAATGTTCTTCCGACGTCTGATTTCTTTTTAAAAAATGCGTTTCTACTTTTGGAATCGACTGTATAGCCATCCTTAAACGCTATTAATAACATTTAACTGTTTTGATCAGACTGATAATACGAAGTTTATATTTTCGACGCGAAATTCGAATTCGTTTGGTGGCATAAGATAAATATTCAAATTTCTAATTTTTCTACAATTCTGTATTCTCTGATTTTCATCTTGGAACGTTCCTTCGGATCACAGATTCCGTCCTTCAATCTGTCCAGTTGGACGATTTCTATCTCACTGGCTCACTTTTCCTTTTAATTTTGAGACAGTATGTAAAATTAGAGAGTAGAAACAGTGACGTGAACAAAAATTGGGAAATTTACGTTAATAAAATTGAACGGTCGAACAAACGAGAATCGTGCGGGTATCGTTATCGATAAGGATGTAAAGGCTTATCGATTTACGACCGTGAGGATGACAGACAGCACGACGGCACGACGTACCAACTCGTCGAGAGATTACGTGACAACGAACATGTCTCATACAATTTCTGACTCCATTGTCCATTGGGGCTATAAAAGAAATTCGATTTTTTATTGTACATAGGAAGGTGACTCAGTGTCACAGAAATTTGAGGAGTCATATTCGCCGCGATTTACTTCAACGAATTTACTCTTGCCTTCGTATGAACATTTTAATTCGATTCAACTAGTCAACACAGTTGCACAAATCGTTTTTCAGCTTACCGTTCTTTGCGCATGTACGAGAGGCGTGGGTGGAGCTCGAAGAAGCAGCCGGGCTTCCACGGCTAATGCAAGATAGAAGAGAGATCGATTTTTCAAGGAGAGGCACCCATCTTTGTTAAGAAGCAAATACGCAAATTATTATATTCAGATTAATTTTAAAACTGGTCCTAAGACTCCAATAAATATTAATTCAGACGTTAGAACATGTACACATATTTTAATTATTACTAGAGAGTAGATTAACCAGAGGAAAGGAATTTTAATCATTTTATACACATACGTATATACATACGTGTATCCTGTGGAAAATAGTGATGAATAAAAGATCAGATGTGGTTTAAAATGGAAAAATATTCTATGAAATTTTTGCTGAATTTAATAAGCATTTAAGAATCATAATAACACTTTATTATACACACGATTTAATGTGCTCGTACATAAATAATACTTGAATTACATGAATCATTAATTTAGTAGCTCCGTTTAGTCGGCAACATCGAACTCGATTGAAGTGAATTTAAAATAGATAAACGGGAGATTCTCCTACCGATAGGGCGGTGGAAGGGTTCGGGAAGGAGCGGGGAACGCGTAGGCGAATCGACTTCAGGCCCCCAGGGGGAGGAGGAGGAGAAGGAGGAAGAGGCCGGGGGTTGAAGCCATTACCGTCACAAAGCTACCACCAGATTGCTTCTCGTCTCTGCAAACCTTCCACCCCCGGCCCTCCATTCCTTCCTTCCTCCTATGCCATCCACGTTCGTTCGTATTCATGATTTAAACTCGATTTCGCCTTTTATCCGCGAAATTCCCAGCCACGCTGATGATGGAATCGCTGAGATCACAGGATCCATGCTACGAGCTCCATTTTATTTCCCACGCGTTTCCTCTAAAAATGTAACAAGCTCGGAAACTGTACTGCAAATGTCCGAAACACAGATTTTAGTCTGATTGATTAAAAACAATATACAGTAAGACCCCGCTTAACGCTGCTCCGCTTAACGCTGTTTCAGTATTACGCGGTAGTATTTGAATTATTCGAAATCGCACGCGGCACAACCATAAGCGGTGCGTTATGCAGTGACGGTTAGCACATTGTGTATCTTTTGTTTCACAACGCTCTTTTGTTACTTTGTCCAGAATAAAGGTTCCAAATGTTCCCGAATTCGCATTACAG